GACAAAAATTAAGCAATAACGAAAGACATCTTTCAGTTGTAAAGCCATCGAGGAATTTTATTTGCGGGCAAATTTTTGTTCTGATTGCTACAGTCTTTTTCTTATCATATAAGAACAGAGAGCACTGGTGACTAACATACAATACTAACATTAACTTAACACTTCAAACAATTGGAAACAATGGTGACTAAACTAAAAATGGAGACGCCAAATGCAATCTGGTACAAACAGTCAGTAATTAACGTCTGGTTCTGAGAGGTTTTTCATGGCTTGCATCTAGAATATCTGTTTGAGACAACAAGAATGGAGATACAAGAATACAGCAGCTCTGGGGGGGGGAGTTATGAGAAAAAAGAGCCAAACTGTACACCAAAGTTCTAGTTGCACTCAACAGCTACAACAAAAAGCCTGAATACAGGTGGATACAGCTAGATAACTTTTAACTATTTTGACTACACCAAGTTCTTTTCTTTCTGATAAACAGATCCCCATGAGCACAGATATTCATACAGTAAGAATTTTGAAACGATTCCCCAAAACCAACTAGCAACATACTGAGAAGGCTATTACCGATGTCAGGTGAAATCTTCAAAACCTGTACAGAAAAAGTGACTAATACATCTTTTTTTAAGCCTGTCAGGCCAAAACGGATATCAAAATACTAGACCATCACAGGCCACCTCAGATCTCAAAATACAAGATCAAATTCTTTTGACCAGTAGAAAAGTTCGACTTAAGCTTCATGCATAAAGCATCTTCTGCAGAAGAGAATGTTTCATGAACATCTGCACAACTTTCCTTGATGCTGATTGGCCTGCAAGTGTCTGTGGGGAAAAAAAAAGAGTACATTAAAACATCTTTCTACATTCCCTGAAAAATTTGACCTTTGGACAGTAATGTAGATTGATGGTGGCACCAACCCTAAGCCAGTGCAACTTTCATATATTGCAACAAAAGTACAATGGATTTTTTTAAAACCAGTATTGGAAAAGTTTCATCAGGAATCCAGTCCAAATGGCTGTTCCGGCTGTTATTCTTTTCGAGGACATTGAACGGCGATTTGATGGGGAAAAATCCTGACCACACAGACACAGACAAGAAGAAAGTTTAGAAAAAACATTCTTTTAATTAACGGAATATCAAGTAAGAAATATCTATAGCTTGACCACTTTGTCTGCGCAAAGAGAAGTACATCGGCATTACATTTATAAAGATGCTGGGGAAAAGACACACAGAAACTTACCAGTTATTACAGTCAGGCCACTTCGTGTGACATTTCTCGGTGTATTATCTCTAATATGTAGTATTAGGTTCTCTTTCTTTCTCCTCTCTTCCTTTGCATTTTTATATTTAGGCCCTGACTTTTGGCTCCGAAAAAATCTCTTTTTTTTCTTCTAGACTGGCGTAAAACTCATACTTAAACTTTAAATTTAAACTTAAGGCGATTTGGACATTTTGAAAGGCAGTTATGTAATTCTGTGCCTATCATTTAAACTTGCGTTATTTAATCTTCTAAGCATTGCTGATCCTGCTTCTACACTGGTTCAAATATTTATTTTATTTTAATTTTTTGAAGTAGTAGTAGTAAATACCTGTATTGATTATGATTTCTTTTTAAAAAAGAGACCCTCTCTGAAGAACGAGGTTTACCAGACGTTCATAACATTTTGAGTAGCAAGTTTTATTCTACTTATTGATGTTGTGTGAGTGCGTGTAGCAGGTGGGGGCGAATATTAATGTGTGTGTGTTTGTGTGTTTCTGTGTTTGTGTATGTGTGTATGTGTGTGTGTTGTGTGCGTTTTTAAGTGTGTGCGGATATGAGTGTGTCTGTGTGCGTGTATATCTTAGGCATTATCTTCTTTGTGAGCTTTGGCAGGCCTATTCTTCACTGTGCGAAATTACTATGCATTATTTTGTTACGTTGTGTTGTTTTGTACATTAACCTACTATCTTGTCCACTATTGCGTGTAAACTTATAAACTTAAAGCCTCAGCGTTAAGATCTGCACTTATATGACCTTATTGTGTTGCAAGTGCCGTAAAACTCTTACTAAAAAAAAATTAAAAGCGTTGAGATCATTAGTAGTATGGCATGGTGGGTTTAACGTAAAATTCAACACGATGTGGTACATGTACATGTATTTATTTGGAAGGTGTGTTTATTAAATAAGGTTATGATTTGTGGATTCACGTACGGTATTTTGGCATGTTTTTTGAAAGATTGACAAAAAGATGAAAAAAGTAGGCTTGAGTTGCTTCCCTTGTTTAGTAATTTTGTGAAACTAAAGGAGAAAAAAAACTTTTTTCCAGTATTGTTCTTAAAAACAACAGCGAAAATACAAAAGACATAATATATTTCTTAATTGCATTATCCTCAAGCATTGTTGTATGTGTTTAATTAAGTTATTGTTCGCTTTCCCATTCCATATTTCAAACACGCATGAACTGATATGTACAAGTACACGTATTTGCGTTGACCCCGATTCCCATGTGTCAGTAAGCCATTCCAGGCTAAGAGGATAAGTAGATAAGTGGATGATTAGTAGAGTTCCACTCCTATCTCCCCCCCCCAAACCGTTTCTCTCTCTCTCTCTCTCTCTCTCTCTCTCTCTCTCTCTCTCTCTCTCTCTCTCTCTCTCTCTCTCTCGATCGCTCACCCGTTCGCTCGTTCTCTCTCATTCAGTGCTTACGAATAATTATGAAAAATACTCTAACTGTTCTCCTCCCCAGACGTTGATCTAGAGTACCACGATATCATGTTGAAAGCCCTTCGCTCCTACACCCAGCACCGCCACATAGAACAGAGGGGTGGCGGCGGCAGCAAAGCTAGGGCTGTTGGTAACATGCAGAAACTTAAAACCCGTGTCCAAAACCTTCAGAACTTGTTATCCCAACCCTCTTCTGTTGTTGAAACTGAAGGAGAATTAAGATGCATTCTCGATAACAACGGTGTCTTAGACGAAAACGGCAACAATCTAAGCGAAGACACCTTCTTAGATCATTCTGACCCCCCTAAAACTTTTAAACTAGCCCAGTGCAGACTTCAGTACCACGACGAAGAGGCGTGGGCAGAAAGGAGGAAATCTTTAAACTCGAATAGTAAAACTACAGAACATAAACCAGTGTCAAGAGCACCGCCTGGGACGGTTCTGCTGTACCCACCAGCTACCAGTGATGGGATCAAGGCTGACTCCTCAGGTCACGTCTTTAGACCTCCCCCGAGCAAGCGAGAACAGAAAAGGCCATGGACAGCTCTTCCTTGCAAATTTTCTGACTATATAACCAGATCTCCGAACCTCAGCCACCAATACAGTGCTTTGTCTGAGAACAACCAAAGGTATAGCATTACATAAAGCAACAGTATAGCTTGATAGCCAATTTTTGCCATTTTTGGTCATCCAAACAACTTATTGCTTCTTAGCGTTAACTATCCTGGAAAAGTGAAAATGCCAGACATATCATATATTATTACCATGGCTTATCACTCAAACCATCGACAAAAAATACTCGACACTCTGGGGCTGAGTAGGTATGGTGTTAGCCTAACAACCCGGAGGTCCATAGTTCGTACCCAGCAAGCGTCGTGGGTTTTTTTCTGTTTTCTACACCCCCTAATCCTAGGAAAGATAAGATCGAGTTCAAAACCTCCTTGGATACAGAGGAAAAATTTGGTAGGTCCCATGTGAACGTTTCTCGTTGGAAAAAAAAGGAACGCTGAAGGTTACTTGGCCGTTTTTAAATCGAAAGAAGGTGGCCCTCCAGGCCACTGTACATGCAAAATTCAAACCTTAATTCCCATTTACAAGCCTAAGCTACTCTAGTGAAAACTGCACATGGCTGTTTGTCAGACCAATGATGATTGTACGTTCTATGTAGGTAAAACGGAGTTGTAAGTGAAAGCAACTCAACTGTGTGACGTCAATCTTACTGTCAGATTCCACCGAACTCTAGCAGGGGTAATAGAAGAGGAAGATTCGGCATCCTGGTTACCCCTTACCTACTTCGCCTGAAACTATGAAATTGTATACATTTAACGCCCCTATCAACACAGTTAACTTTGCTTGAGGCTATCTCTTGACGACAGCCTTGTAAACGAGACATTTATTGTAGCCTAATACGCAAGCAGTTTTGGCACGATCAGATACATAGCCCTAGATATATTATTTCAAAGGGTAATGAAATCGTTTTCTATCATCCTGTGAAGTTTATGGCTCTACTATCATTAATAAGTGAGATGTCAGCATTAAAGTGGAAACGGTACACACTGACCTGTTTTCCCTCGACAATCCCAGGATAACCGATATGACAGGACAGTGATTAACGATCTGAGGTGGGGGTTTTATTGCTGTTGTTGTTGTTTGGGGGGTTTTGGGGGGGGGTTCTTTTTTTCTTGCTTGTTTGTTGGTTTGTTGGTTTTTTGTTTGTTTATTTGTTAGCTTGTTTTTTGTGTTTGTTTGTTTGTTGTTGTTGCAGTTTTGTTTTGTTTTTGGTATTTTGTTGTTTTCGCTGTTGTTGTTGTTGTTTT